TGCGAATGAAGGCTGCCCCCCCCTCCCTGGAAAAACTAGCTATTGGAACGAACTCATTCTTAGTGTAAACACCAGTGTTTAGTACGGAGTTGCCAAATAGATAAACAAATACTTTTCCATTTGGAAGAAATGACCACACCGGAGCAGAATATACACCAGCTATTTTGAAATCGAAGGCCCTTTCTTCCACGTTAAAAAAAAGTTTGGATCTGGATTTAGTCCTGCTAAAAACAAACCCTTTAACATCAAGTGAGAATTGTTAGCCATTTCTGTTCGATTTTGGTGGGTCTGCTTTAGGTGTGTCTATCTCTGACTCCAACCAAATATGTTTAAGAAGGACTGTATAGTTTATTGAAATTAGTAGTTGCTTAAAAGTAAGACTGGGATTCTAACCTGTTTTTTTTAATTCAATTCAATTAGTGGTATTTATTTCCTAATGCCTATGCTGGAACCTGGATACCAATAAAACTACTGTACAGTAGTTGTAGAAGAAAACAGAAGAGAAGAATACTATCAATTTAAACAGGCATTCTGTCCATTATAGTCTATATGTCCCAATCATTTTGAATGCAAATACAGCACCTTCCCTTAGAATTTTTTCTGCATTTGGTAGATTTTTTTTCCCTTGGGTCCAGAGTTGCAGCCTTGAATATTGAATAAGTAAAGATTATTTATTTATTTATTCATTTATTGGTCTACCTGTGCCAAAGTGATCTCATGCCCTCAGGATTTATGTCAGCAGTTGTTTTTACTTTTTAACCTCGTAACGCCTGTAGAAAACAATGCCAGTTGTTATGTGCAATCACGTTCCTTCCAACTTATGGTGTCCTTATGAATTAGGGACCTCCAGTGAAACATGCATTGTTCTCAACTTTTCTGTTCATGCTGTGGGAGCATGTCCATGCAAACACTAAAATGTCACAATTTAAATTATTTGGTATTTCAGTCCTAAAAAGTAGAATTATTTGATATAAATTGTGTTCCTAAATTGATTTAGTTATAGGTAAATAAGAATAAGGTAATAAATTTGACTAGAATGCAGCAATATTCACTTCCACTCAAAGCAACAAAGTCTGACGTGAATAACAAGTGTTGATTCATTCAGACGCTCATTCCAGTTCTTTGCCTGAGTTCATTAAGACTTACTCAGATTTATATGTGTACAGGATTTCTCTCTTGAACTTATACTTCAGTCCTATAATTATTAAACAGCAATAAGTTCCATTGGACTCAGTGAGGCTTATATCTTCGGAAACACACAGAACTACATGGCAAATTTCCATTGCCATTGGTAGGAAGTAATAACTTAAGTCCAGTTGCTTCCAGCAGGAAATAGAAGCAGCTGACATACTATGGAGCTTAAGTTGATATGTTTAGGAACACACTGTTAATCTCAGTAAAAGTCAGCAGAATTAGCCAGTTTAAAATTCAAGAGACGGTAGAAAATTAGTTTAAGATAGCAATCATAAGCATTGTAGGTAAATTCCCATGGATGCAGTTGAGCTTTACTTTTGAGAAAACATGCATTGCTTTCAACTGTAAATTACTTCAGTAACCACAACCTGAGCTCCTCATGTTCCGTTTGATCCTTGATACATTGGCCAGCAATTTTTTTGCTAGTCCCAAATAGAGCTTAGGCCCTGAGAAAAAAATAATTCCATCTGTATGGCCACATAATTTGGAGGTTTGGATTTTGTATATCAGGCTAGCGGAAGAAGCTGTTATGTGGCCAACAGTGAAAATAATGTAGTGGATTCTGGGACAAGAGACAAAATAATAAGGAAAAAGAAGAAAGAAACATATGATATGCAACATGGATGGCTGGGGGGAAGGAGATGCCATGGAGTGAAGTGTGCTTGTGTTACTTGATGGCTTTCCGTAGCTGGCCAAGAGAATTAGGCATTGGGGCAGGGGGGAATCATTCTTTTGTGTTTGCTCTCCAGTGCCTTCTCCAGGATACTTTATGAAGAAAAACAGTTTAACTAGATAGATATTTTATACTTTAGGAATCAAAAGAGTTGTGTGTCCTATGCCACCACACTTGGAAGGTAATCATCATCATCATCATTATCATGTGCTGACTAGTCAGTTCTGACTTATGGCCACCCTTTCTAGGGTTTTCTAGGTAAACTCAAAAGTAGTTTAGTCTTTGTCTAGGACAGTGATGGCGAACCTATGGTATGCGTGCCACAGCTGGCACACAGAGCCCTCTCTGTGGGCACACGAGCCATAAGTCGTCATAGAGAAATACTTAACCCGTCGTCCAATCCCGGATTTTGGCACTCCCCTCTGCTGGTGCAGTGGTCCAGCGGAGGGGTGCAATGGCAACCATTACCAGTCTAGCCAAATGGGGGATTGGAGGACTGGTAAGTATTTATTTGTCAATGCCGCCCATGGGGGGGGGGGCACAAGCATTTAACCCTTGCAGTGCAGGAGCAGTTGTTTTTTCTAAACTAAAACCTCAGCGTTCAGGTTTTAATTGCAGTATTGGCACTTTGAAATAAATAAGTTGATTTTGTGTTGCAATTTGGGCACTTGGGCTCAAAAAGGTTTACCATCACTGGTCTAGTAGCACCCTGGGACTGTGCTGCTTGCCCATGGCTACACAGGCTGGCTTTCACCCTAGGAGGCACAGTGAGGAATCAAACTCCTAGATACCTAAACCAGTGAGCTATCCAGTCAGCGTGGAAGGTAGGCAGGAAGTAATTGTGGAGTGAGGAATGGGAAGAGAGGATCGGAAATTGGAGGAGAGAAATAGGGTGAGAGAAAAGGCAAATGGATTTATTTATTTTTTTGAGAATATAAACGCTGCTTTTTAAAGCAGTAACAAAAGTAATGTGGAGATGTGGCCATTGCACCCCAGAAATAACAAAATTACAAGTCTCTGTATTACTTATGTAACATTGTTGTGAATGTTCATAAGGTGAAACCGAAGAAAAATATGGTGGTTTCGTTTTCTGTAGCAGAGTCAGTGCTGCATAGACATGTGGGCTGTCAGACCCCCAATAAAGCAGGAGAAGCAGTTAAAAACAAACTCCTAGCCTTTATTAAGAAACGTACATTCTGGACAGAAAAGCCTAAACCCTAATCCTAACTAGATAGACATATACCCATGGGATTCAGGGAAGAGGAGAGACAGTAGGTCTGCCCCTTAGAGCAGTGGTCCCCAACCTTAGGCCTCGAGATGTTCTTGGACTCCAACTCCCAGAAGCCTTCGCCACCACCTCTGATGGCCAGGATTTCTGGGAGTTGAAGTCCAAGAACATCTGGAGGCCCAAGGTTGGGGACCACTGCTTTAGAGAACAGGAAAAGAAGAAGATAAGACTGATAGGTGGACCCTAAGAGTATCACTCTAATGCAGAGGTTCCTGACCTTGGCTTCCCAGATGCCCTTGTACATAAACTCCCAGAAGCCTTCACCACCAGCTGTGCTGACCACAATTTCTGGGAGTTGTAGTCCAAGAATAACTGGGGACAAAAGGCTGGGAAACACTGGTCTAATAATAGAAGCAAGAAGTAAAGGTCAGAGAGACGAGCCTCCCTGGCATCTACTCTGAAATCCCTCTTCGGGCTGGATAGGTGCTATGAGGCAATGCTTGCCAGATGCTGGGCCAACAAATATGAGATTACACTTTTGTTACACAAAAGTAAGGAGTTATAATAATAATAATGTTATTTGTAACATGGTACTCCGAAGCACTTTTGTATTCCCTGTTGAACTAACAGCAACTCCTGAGCTGCTAATCATCATAATGGCTAATGCTGTTGGCTATGCATTACAGTAGTTCAGACAAGGAAGGCCTGTGGCTGTTTCCCACACTAAAGCTGAAGAAAGCTGAGACATAATGACACACAGGAAGGGAATTATTCAGTTTATAAGATTCTCATCATGACTTGATGTTTGAGCACTACTTTGTTGGCTTGCAGCAGTTTTATGGCTTTGGTGACTACGTTTTGTGCAGAAAAGCAACTCAGATGTTTCTCTAAATCAAAGAAGTCAGTATTGGTTTTAAAGGAATATAATCTTGCTGCTGTCCCAATGACTAAAGCCTTTCAGTATTCAATCTGTATCTATGTATTTCTTTGGTTTAAATTTCTCTCTTTCTATAAGCCCAAACGCATTTATCTGGATTTTTCGAAAATAAATCTGAATTTAGTGCTCTTTGTTTCGACATAAGTATGCTTAAAATGGATTAAATTTAGGACGAGAGAATGGAAGTCTTGCAAAACCAACAAGAACGCAAATTATAATTAAATATACGTGGGGCAAAATCCTCTTGCGTAAAGTTATGTGCTGCAAGGCGTGTCATCATCCGATGCTAGCAATATTTAATTTTAACAAACAAACAAAAAGCTTCCTATTTTCCCTCCTTTTAGATTCTGAGGCTCCCTAGGGCTTTTTGACCTGGAGAAACTTTTGAGAGCCTTGGAATGGGGTGTATGTGCTTTTAATGGTAAAAAATTGCCAATGGTACTAGGTTTCAGACTACCGTCTGTGATTTTTGACTATTAAAGACTCCCCTCCCCTTTGCTGTCCTGAGGCTCCCAGACGTTTCGCAAGAGGAACTTTGCTAGATCCAATTTATGAGCCCTCCAGACATATTGCTATAACACTCCCATCAGGCCCAACTCATACCACCAATGCTGAGGGACTCTGCGAAATGTCATGTAAAATATCTGAGGGTCAAAAAGTCTGCCACCCCTGCTTTATGTGGAAATAAATGCCCCTGAAATCAAGAGTTAAAACTTGCAAATAATGTGTTTGGATTTTTATATCAGCAGGCATTATCTGGATATTGCTTTTAATTTAAAACTGGCTGCTTCTGAGGTGGGTGGTTTTTTTTTTTTTAACCTTTGCTGTATTTCATGATTTTGTCTGTTTTTAATTGTTATTTTGTTATACTTTTTAAAAAATTATCATTTCCACTGAAATGAACAAATGGAAGTTTCAATTAAGAGGCTGGTGTTGCAATAATAAATACCTTCCTTTCTTCTTTGTAGGAGAAACAAGTAACACCAGCATAGTGATCATATTGGTTTCTGGCACTGAAGCATTGAAAATGGAAGCATTCCCTTTCAGGATTATATTGGCACTTCTTGTAACTGGATCTGTCATCAGCGACCGTATGGAGAGATATCATTCAAACCTGACAGACTTTGGAAACAATGTCTCTGTCATAGATCTATCCCGTCCTGCCAGTAAAACCAATGGAACATATTGCCGGCAGAAAACTAGAGCTGATGACACTTTCAAATACATCAATACAATTGTATCCTGTGCAGTTTTCATCATTGGGATTGTTGGAAATGTAACTCTGCTGAGGATTATTTACCAGAACAAGTGTATGAGGAATGGTCCCAATGCACTGATAGCTAGCTTGGCAATGGGAGACCTTATCTACATCATCATTGATATCCCTATCAATGTATATAAGGTAAACATCACAATACTTACACTTTGTGCATTTATTTTTGTAAAATGCAAAGTTACTAAGATGGGGATTGCCTTACAATTTCTTAAGAGTTTGGGAATGTTACTTTTTGAACTAAAATGCCCAGATCCCCTAACAACCATGGCTATTCAGAGAACTGTAGGACAAAGAGTCTGTTTTCCACACCCTGATCCCTGTCAATAAGCAGGTTTGTATTCCTTAATGCTCCCCTAAGAACCATGGCATGCTTCATCTGCAGCACTTAAAATTGGATTGCCTGTGCTGAAAACATTGTGCATGGAACAGCATGAAATCTCCGTTGATGATATTGGCTATCTGCTGGCTGTTTCAGACTTACACAGGTGAACGTCAGCTGATATTCCAGCCCAGACAAGCCTTTAATAGAGGTGATGTGGAAGTGATGAGTCTATGACAAAGTAGCTGCCTGCATGCTTCTGCATGCTGCTATGAGGTGTATAAAAGCAAGTTCAGCTGTGTATGAAATTTGATGCAAACTAAAACAAAATGAAAACTAGTCATAATGTGTTTGCTATTTATTTTATTTATTTATTGCATTTATACCCTACCCATCTAGTCAATTGACTACTGCTAGAGAAGTTGTTAATTGCTAAATGATATGCATGAATCAGATCTTGACCACATTACAACCAACACAGCGACCTGAATGTAGTCCATCAATGTGTATTAGCTTGGGAAAATATGATACTGTTTGTTGGATCCATTTCAACCTGACTTTCAGGCTGGCTATAGAATAGAAATGGCTTTGGATACCCTAGTGCAGGGGTCTCAAACATGCGGCCCGGGAGCCATTTGTGGCCCGCTGGACAATAGTTTGTGGCCCCCGCCTTGCCTGCCCCCCAAGTGCCCACGCATCTTCTGCTGTCAAGAGTCAAAAAAAGCCTAGCCTCACTCACCAGCTGTCTCCTAAGACAGCGCCTCTTGCACCCTCCATCCGGAACTGCAGCCTGCCAACCAGCCCGCCTGGCTAAGGAAGCTCCTGGATGGCTTCCTCAGGCTCTTGCTCCACTTGGCGGAAAATCTGATGAGGCCCAGCGTCACCCAGACTCTGCCTCCAGCGGCCCCCAGGTAAATTGAGTTTGAGACCCCTGCCCTAGTGTGTACAGCCTAGTCTGAGACTATGGCAAGGGGAATACTGTATGTTCTCATTGGTTTTCTTGGACATGTTTGTGGCTTTTTTGATACCTTTCTGTATAGTCTGTACTTTAGGGAGTTATAGGCAATGTATTGTAGTTTTCTGAGTCCACAGAGCAGGTATGCACAAAAAGATAGTGCTGGGTTACTGTCATGCCATTGGTATTATGGTGTTCTGCAGGGTTTTATTTAGTCTGTTTCGTTGTTTTAAGATCTATGTCACTGCATGTTTTACAGCTGGGTGCCCTCAATACAAGGATGACACTCAGGCCTATCTTTCCTTTGGACTAGATTCAAATGCTGCTATATAAATCATAAGGAGTCGTTTAGAATCAGTGATGAACTGGTTAAGGAATGATAGAGAAGTTCATTCCACACAATCTGAAGTGGTTGGTGGTGGTGGAGGGCTTTTCACATCAAAGAAGTGGTGTTTGACCTGTTCTGTATAAGACTGCGTATGCTCTGTAGGACTAGCTACACAACTTGTGTGTGTATGCAGAGGATGTGTTCACATGAAGCAATATAAAGGACATACAGGTGCTATTTGTAACTTTACGGTGCATGCTCTGTAGGACTAGCTACACAACTTGTATGTGTATGCAGAGGGTGTGTTCACATCAAGCAATATAAAAGGACATACAGGTGCTGTTTGTAACTTTACGGTGCTTCTGCAGCTTCAGTAAATCTACCAGTGGTAGATCTTTTCTTGCAGAGACATGGTCTGGACAGAATCATACATCCTCAAGTACCCTGTTTCCCTGAAAATAAGACCTAACCTGAAAATAGGCCCTAATATGATTTTTCAGGATGCTCGTAATATAAGCCCTACGCCAAAAATAAGCCCTAGTTGTGCAGCAACCAGAAGATGACATGACTGTAAAATAAAACATCCCCTGAAAATAACCCCTAATGTGTTTTTGGAGCAAAAATTAATTTAAGACACTGTCTTATTTTCGGGGAAACACAGTAAGGTCCTGGCTAGATGACTATTTTGTGTTTTAGTTCTCAGAGGCAAGATATGCCACAGTAGCTCTTTCTGTTTCCCAGCAGTGGAAAAATACAATCAATCAATCAGTCAATCGAAGTATGGCAGGACTATATCTGTTTCTGTGTTCAATACTGTGTTCCAACTAAGTAGCAGTTCTGTCTGGTCAGTAGTTTGAATAGAAGAACTCTGTTAGCCTCATGTACGATCAGTGTACAGTGGTGCCTCGACTTGCAACCATAATCCGTTCCAGAAGATGGATGTAACTCGAAATGGTCGTAAGTCGAAGCACCATTTCCCATTGAAATGCATTGGAACATGATTAATCCATTCTGGCATAAATAACAACAACAACAACAACAACAACAACAAACAACAACAACAACAACAACAACTAAAGCACACAGCAAGCTCCATCGGAAGGCGCTGGGGCTTTAAAAAACAAACAAAAATAAAGCACACAGCAAGCCCCATCAGAAGGCACTGGGACTGAAAAAATAGACACCAAAACATACCAAAAAATCACAGTACAGAAACATAACTCCCCCCAGCCCAAACCCACCCTGCAAAACCCTGTAAATGTACTTACTCAGAATCAGAAAGCAGCACCAAGCAGTTCGAATCCTCCTCTGACGCACACACTAGCTACAAAGAAGCTCTTTGCCGACCAATGGTTAGCCCTCTAATTTGAATTCCCCGCCTTTTTTCCCTGCCTCTTGATCGTAACTTGAAGCTCCGGCTGCAAGTTGAAGCAAAATTTTGCAGCCGGAGCTGTCACAACTCGAAATGGTCATATGTCGGGACGGTTGTAAGTCGAGGCTCCACTGTATACATATAATTAATAGTTCAGCATGAAATTGATATGCCCCAATGGTGGTCTGTAGGTACTATAGCTGTGATGTTATAAATAAGAACACCAGAAAATTTAGTGACTATGTTGTAATCTGATTAGAAATAGTATGTCTGAGTAACGTGTAGACGTGCTCAGTTGTCTGTGTCAGGCTTCTTTAAAATTCTACATAGTATCAATACAGCTTGGAATGGTTATTTATTTATTCACACCCCTGACAGCAACAGCAAAATCAAATAGTTACATAAGAATGGGTCAGGAAACTTTCACATGCAGAGAATATTCCTGAATGCCTCTTTGAATAGCTCCATTTTAACCTGCTTCCTGAAGAACAGAAGGGAGGGAGCTTGGCATGCATCAACAGGCAGCACCGTATCAATACAGCTTGGAATGGTTATTTATTTATTCACACCCCTGACAGCAACAGCAAAATCAAATAGTTACATAAGAATGGGTCAGGAAACTTTCACATGCAGAGAATATTCCTGAATGCCTCTTTGAATAGCTCCATTTTAACCTGCTTCCTGAAGAACAGAAGGGAGGGAGTTTGGCATGCATCAACAGGCAGCACAATTTCTAGAGTTCACCTGTCAGTATGAATGTTTTCTGAAGCTCTAAAATTAATCCATTGTGACTGCACTCTTATCACAAGACAGAGAAGACATTGGCCTTTCCCCATTTATAGAGAATCATAAAAGTAGTGGTAATATTTCTGGGATAAGGGGAAAACTAGCCTCCCTCTGTGCAATGGGCCAAACTGTTCAGATGGGATCAAAAGTATAGAACTCTACTTACAGATTTCCAGCTAGGATTGTTCAAACCTATTTCTGTTATGTATAAAAAGACAATCTGAGCCACAGATTGTGTGAAAGTGGTATATCTCTATGTGATTTATAATGATTTCTCTGAAATGCATGGAAACAAGGAAAGAATAAGGTAATCAGCTGCAAGCATTTTGAATGGTTTCCAGGGTGGCTTGTGGACCAAGCAGAGAGGAGGTTCTTGTCCCAGTCATGAACCCTGTGATGGTTTCTTAATTCCTTAGAACAGTAGAGTGTCAGCTTGATGAAGGGGATTATTCAGGAGACCTGGGTTCAAATCTTTGCTTAGCCATGGAAACTCATTGGAACATGGTGATGGTAAATCACTTCTTGACTATCTCGCATACCTTAAAAACCTACTAGGATTAGCACAAGTAAGAAGCCATTTAATGGTACATAGCAAATAGAAATAGCATAAACACTGTGTTATTGTTTCCATATAATCAGGATCTTGTATTTTGGGGTTTTGGTTCCTTGTTGGTCCCTCCTCCTCCTCCTCCTTTTTGAACTGCTAGCAAAATATGTCCGTGCAAAATGAAGAGAACAAAATGGTTTACAAAAAGACTTTGGGTTCAGCCTTAAGTCACTTAGCCAAGGGAACTATAATTCAGCATGATGAGAATAGTTTCTCAATGTCATATTATCTTTGTTTGAAAGTAACACTTCTAGATTGTCAGAATTCAAGTGTTTGAGTTCTGATATATTGTGTATTTATGGCCAAGACTTAAAAAGCTTGACCTTACTGAGAGAACTGGGATCAGTTCCAGTCACTTTAGATTAGTGGGTAAAATACTGAAATTCAACTCCATTTTCTTCACTCCATTTACTCATCCCTGGATCCTGAACTTCAGCAATCTAATGGCTTCTCCTTGTCTAACCTTTCTAACAGAGGAAACTTGAGCTTTGCTGGAAGCAGCTGATGTGCTCTGTTCATTTATAATATGGTTTAGATTGTACAAATGAAATTTTCATTGTAAACAGAGATTATGGTTTCGTTACATGATGTACCTGGGTATGACAGCTATAATTATCAGATTTTCTTTCAGATTTCTAAGTCACTGGGTCTGACATCCTTACATCATACGAGGTCTGGCGGGCCAGATTTGGCCCGCAGGCCTTGTGTTTAACACCCCTGCTGTACACCATTGTTTCAGTTTCTTTTGTCCTGCCTGCT